CCATCAAATGTCTGTAACAGCAGCCGGGCACAGTGGCTCACACGTCTACTCCCAGCACTGTGGAAGGCAGAGGCAAGATGGGCTGAGTCCAGGAATTCAAGACCAGCTTGGACAATATATCAAGATGCTATCTACAAAAAATTTAACTATGACCCAGGCATGGTGGCATATGCTTGTAGTCCCAGCTACTCAAGAGGCTGAAGGAGGACCACTGGAGCCCATGAGGTAAAGGCTGCAGGGTGACAAATCAAGACCTTGTCTCAAAACATAAAAAGCATCTCTATAGCAGGAGTGAGCCAGGTACCGTGGACAGTCTGCGCCCCAAGGCCAGTCCCCTCTTGTCACAGGTGTGCAGTGGGAATGAGGTGTAAGTCACACAACATCCTAAAAGCTTCAACAGGGCACTGGACAGCCGCTGACCAGGTCGGTGGCATTTTCTGTTGCCAGGAAGCTGCATTCTCCTTCCTGCTAAGCTTTCTTGTGCTGGAGAATGATGATTAAAGAAAAACAGATGATCCCAGTTTCTTATTCATCACCCCCTAAAAAAAGACTGCTAAGTGTGTCAGGCTTGCCTGAGGGAGACATCCTTACCTGACGACTTAAAGGAGAAGCGCCTTAGTGAGCCACCCTCCACACAGAAACATGCACACTTTGCACAAAACACTTTATTGAGAGAAAGATGGCCAGTGGGAGGAAAGATGAGGGTTCAGGAATCCTCAATTCTAGTTCTTGGTCTGGCAGCAACACCCTCCATCCCTCCCGGAGCCTCCAGGATCTTCACCTTCTCTAATCTGGTGTCGCATCCCTTCCTGTTCTGACATCCTGCAGTCTAGAATACCTATTAAAGAGCTGTGGCCATACAGGAAGAACAGAGCAAGAGCCACTGGCAAAGGATTCTGCCAAGAGAGAATCCAAAGGTCACCCCTGAATAGCAGAACGCAATCCCCCAGCTCACTGCTGGCCAGAGTCTGCCAGAGCGCCAGCACACAGGTAACAGGTAATAGCGCCGCCATGGCCACTGTGCCAAGGTGAGGATGGAGCGGGAGAGAGGTCTGGGGGAGTCAAGGAGCCCCCACGGGTCTTGGCTTTGGAAGTGTGGCTGTACCAGCAGATGGGCCCTCGGGAAGCCACCAGGGAACAATTCACGGCTGGAGAGAAAAAGGCCACCTTTGACCAGGCAGGAGAGGAGAGTGAGAACCTACAAGGGGTACCGCGGGCGAAGAAAACACTGCCCAGGACCTCACTGCGGTAGGAACTGGCTGTTTATCACACTCTCACAACTAACATGTGGATTTGCCTGTTTTAAAACAACAACTTTCCACCCCTTTCAAAGGCAGCAGTTCCTAGGCTGAAAGGACAAACCACAGCAGAGCTGGTAATTATCTGAAGCCGTTCCTGCTTCCAGCATCAAACCATCCTCCCTCTTTTCTGACAGTTACTGTCTGCCCGAAAGCCATTTTTTACAAAAGGTTTCCTTCCATGTGCTGACAAGAGGATTCTTGATGACATACGGGCCATTTATTTCAAAATGTAATGCCTAGCTATTTCTACTTTCAGATCATGACTAAAGCCAAACCAAAACCACAGCAAAGAAAATCTAAGGATTTGTGTACCAGAAATACCTACAAAGAAGTTTGCAGGCCAGGTGCGGTGGCTCACGTCTGAAATCCCAGCACTTCGGGAGGCCGAGACGGGCGGATCACCTCAGCAGGAGTTGGAGACCAGCCTGGCCAACATGGTGAAACCCCATCTCTGGTAAGAACAGAAACAATAACCGGGCCTGGTGACACACACCTGTAATCCCAGCTACTTGGGAGGCTGAGGCAGAAGAATCACTGGAACCCAGGAGGCAGAGGTTATAGTGAGCCGAGATCGCACCACTGCACTCTAGCCTGGGTGACAGAGTGAGACTCTGTCCCCCCAAAAAAAAAAAAGTTAGCAATGTCGGCAGCAAGGTGCAAACAGAGCCGGCTCTGGCTAAAAGCTTTAGTTATGAAAAAATAAGAAAAAAAATCCCTAAGCATTTCTTAACACTAGATTTAAAGAACCGCCCCCCTCAGCTTTGCCAGACTGTCTGGAGGTAAGCTACCTAGTCTTTTCTGGATGTATCAGGAGAAAGTTTTTTTTTTTTTTTTTTTTTTTTTTTTTTTTT